TCAAAAAGAAGAAATGGGAGAGCTGGGGAGCACTAATGTACATTTTGGTTGCACAGACATTTTTCATGTCACGATCAGTGTTGGCTAAGTTCCAACTTTGTACTTTAGTAGGGTAGATGCGCTCTGGCTAGGTAGGATGATAAATTCAAAGTGAGCAAAGGCAAAAAAAAGGAGGAGTGAACAAAAGAGAGCTTCTGGGTACTTTTCAGGTTTTCCTGTCTTCTTTTCTCTGCCCCCTAACTTTGATTCCATAGATGGTCCACCCCTCTTGGACCCACCCCCGACCCACCCCCACGTCCCAACAGAGTCTTAGCTAATGCCATCTTCCTAAGGAAGTAGAGCCCAGTAGCAAGCTGTCCCTGCTGGCCTCCTCACCCAGCCTGGGGGAGCAGTGATGGAGACCAGAGGTCCCAGCCTCTGCAAAACAAGTGCTTCTCTGAGCAGGCTGAATCACTGGCTCCCTGGAAAGAGCCCCCAATCCTAGAAGGGCTGTGTCTGAACCCAGCTCAGCTCTTACAGCTGCTGGCTTCCTGGAGCCAGCCTCCATGTTTTAGGTGCTCATCTTTCTTATTCACAATCCAGTTTTTCTTCTTTTTGGAAGAAACTGTTTTATTTCCTGATTTTAGTTTGTGCCTTTACATTAGACCTCCAATAGTCTTTGCTTGCTTGCTTGCTTCGTAAAAGAGAAAAAGGCAATGGTTGTAAAGAAAGGCTCTCTCCAAGTGCCAGGAATATTCAGGCTTCTCAGAAGAGCCAGGGTGAGGAAGGGCTTTTTCCAAACGATGTCCCTTCTCATGTCACAGTTTGAAACACAAACCCACAGACTCTGGGTATCTGGAGATGTGCTGCAGGCTCTAGGCCTGTGGGCTCCTTGCAGGATGCCTCCACATCACCACTTACATTCCAGAGTGTCAAGGAGGAGCCAGAGACAAAGAGGAAGCTGGGGAGAGGGTTCCTCCAGGGACTGTCCACGTCTGAATGTTTGCATAATGGTGTCTCTACTGAGCAGTGAGGCTGAAAGAAAATTAGGGATGTACCGCTCTGGAGAACACTGGGACTTCTGACAGGTAGTCTGGGGATCAGTCCATCATTTGGCAGAAAAGAAGCTTTTCTTTTGGGAAGCTCTGGCCCAGCTTCCTTCATTTCATTCAAAAGCCGGCAATAATACCCTGGGGAGCAGCACCCAGTGTCATTCCAGCATCTACGGGTGGAACCAAAGACTCCACCCCTGGCTGGAGATGGAATAGCCTCATGATCAAGGTGTGGGGTTCTAGATTCAAAAGACATGGGTTCTTTGGGGCACCTGAGTGGCTCAGTCAGTTAAACGTCCGACTTGGTTAAGTGTCCGACTTCTGCTTAGGTCATGATCTCACAGTCTGTGGGTTCAGGCCCCACATGGGACTCTGTGCTGTTAACACAGAGCTTGCTTCGGATACTCCGTCCCCATCTCTGTCTGCCCCTCCCCACACACATGTGTTCTCTCTCTCTCTCTCAAAAATGAACATTTAAAAAAAAAAGTCGTGGATTCTACTCCCTGCTCTGTCACTTACTCACTCTGCGTTCTCATGCAAGTTAATTTAACCTCTCTGTGCCTTAGTTTCCTCATCTGCAAAATGAAGTCCATAAGAATATCCAATTAATAAGCTTGATGTGGGGATTAAAGAATGAAAGCAAACCACACAGCCCAGCACTGAGTCCACAGTAAGCAGTAGCTGATGCTGTCTCCCCAGGAGGAAGTCGGGCAAACAGTGAACAGTTAACAGAGGGCTTATTGTGACACTGTTCTAGGCCCTTTCCATGTCAATTCCCTCATTCCTCACAACACCCCACAAAAGTAGCTACTGTTACCATCCCCACTTTATAGATGAGGAAGAAAGTAGGGCACAGAGATGTTTCCTAATTTTCTAAGGTCATAGAACATACTAGAGAGTGACAGAACACAATGGTCCAGAGAGCTGTAGCCACCCTGAAGTGCTATCTGTGAAGATACTACAACTTTTCTCTGTCACACATCCACTGCTCACCAACATGGCCTAAGTCCTAGGCTGGACCCTGGGGATCCAGATACAGAACTCAGGAAGCTTCCAGTGTTAGGGAGCATATAGATGCGAACCAAGACCACCACATCCTAACGAGCAGGGACAGAACATAATTCCTGGAGAGGAGCCAGCCTATGGAAGAATTTCTGGAAATCATGAGGCACCATTTGGACTTAGAGTAAGAAAGTTTCCATTTTGCTGTTAGGCTGGGCATTGATAAGAAGAGTACACTCTCTTTTTGCAGATGTGAGGCACGGTGTCACCCTGTAATGAAACTGGCCTCAGAACCCCACTATTCCCGATAATAAAAAATACCAGGACTTCTTCTCTTCCAATTATTAAGGGTCGAAAATGCTCAATTCATAAGACACAGCGGGTTCTGCACAGCATTCAGTCCACAAAGCCAGCCCTCTGTTAAGCCAGTGTAGTGTGGATGAGGGGCCTCTACAGTCATGCTCTTCTTTTTTTTTTTTAATTTTTTTTAAAGTTTATTTATTTTTGAGACAGAGAGAGACAGAGCATGAATGGGGGAGGGGCAGAGAGAGAGGGAGACACAGAATCGGAAGCAGGCTCCAGGCTCTGAGCCATCAGCCCAGAGCCCGACGCGGGGCTCGAACTCACGGACCGCGAGATCGGACCTGAGCTGAAGTCGGACGCTTAACTGACTGAGCTACCCAGGCGCCCCTCTTCTTGACCCTCCAGGGGTGAACACACTGTTGGACCTCCAGCCACCCCACCTCACCTAACACAGGCTGGCACTCACAGCCGGCTAACGGCACCCACTACCCCTTCCCTCCGTGGGCCCAGAGCCCCTCACTTATTTTATGGATGGCGAAGCCTTTATACCAGTACTTGCCTTTTTACTTCTTTCCCAAAAAGTGAAGGAAATACTGAAATTCTATACTACCAAGAAAGCAGAGGGCGTGCCTTTAAAAATAAGGAGATATCGTAGGAAGGACCTGATTGCTGACCAGGTCACAGTCAGGGCTTATGTTCCACCATGTTAGCTCTAAGGTCTGCAGTATGCTGGTGGTCCAAGAACCCAGCTAAAGCCCCACTAGACTTTTTCTCAAAGTTCTTTTATTCTTTAATTCCACTCTCCTGGGTGAGATCAACTGAAAGGAGGAGGGCTTCACATTGTACTTGGATTTAAGATCCAAACTTCTCATCAGGGAGCACAAGACCAGTCTGACCTGAGCCCTGACTATCCCTCCAGCCTGAGGTCTCTCTCTCTCTCTCTCTCTCTCTCTCTCTCTCTCTC